ATTATCCCCATAACAACAACCTTGTGAGGTGTGTTGGACTGAGAGTGAACGACTGGCCCCAAATCACCCAGCTGGCTGTCATGCTTACAGTGGGACTGCAACTCACTGGATATTACTGGGCATTGTTTGCAAGCAAGCTTTCAGGACCGAGATGAGCTGAAGACTCTTAAATGTTTCACAAATCAACAGTGCATTGGAGAAAGCAAAGCAATACCAATGTGGCATCTGCCTCAAATGTTTTTCAAGGGAGGATTCCACCTAGTGGAAGTGACTCTGGTATCCAGTAAACCTTGTCAACTCTTGCATTAATGAGTTCTCATGTCGGAGATAAAGATAGCAAAAGAATTAAATGTTTCAAAGAAGTTTCATCTGAGTTCTAATGAAACCAGGATGTGAGGCACAAATATGTTTCATACAAGACTGCTTGGACTTATAATAATCTCCATTAAGAAAAATCCTAAGTAATATTGTATATTTAGGTTTCTCTGATTGGACACTTTCCAATGAGATCTGATTGGACAACTTTGACATCCTTTGGATCGATTGGTGAAGACGACCAGGTGTTTTTACAGGTTGGCAAGAGAGGGCGGGGTGGAGTAGGAGTAGACTAGTCTCGTTCGGATTCTCACTCTGGTCCGACCCCAGACATATTAAGTTCCTGGCAGAGCGTCTTTTTGTTGTTATCGGCGCAGTGGTTTCGTTGTTAGGATGTCTGGTCGTGGGAAAGGAGGGAAAGGCTTAGGGAAGGGAGGCGCTAAGAGGTACCGTAAGGTCCTTCGCGACAACATTCAGGGCATCGCGAAGCCCGCCATTCGCCGCTTGGCTTGCCGTGGGGGAGCGAAGCGTATCTCCGGGCTCATCTATGAAGAGACTCGAGGCGTCTTAAAGGTCTTGGGAGAACGTTATCCGGGATACGGTTATCTATACCGACCATGCCAAGAGAAAGACGGTGACTGCCATGGACGTCGTTTATGCTTTGAAACGCCAAGGCCGCATCTTGTATGGTTTTGGTGGTTAGAAAGCTACATTTCCACTGCTGACGAACCCAAAGGCCCCTTTCAGGGCCACCCACGCAGTCAATTTAAAGAGCTGTTTTCATTTGGCAAAAAAGAGGCCCCTAACTAATGTAACTACTATAAACTTATTCTGATCGACAATGCTAGTAAATAATAATTAACTGAGCAAATGAAACTGCTTTATTTCATATTGTGGGAAGTCAGAGCCCCAGAGAAGGAAATATTAAAAGGGCAGAAATATATATTTCCTCAAAAGTATTTTAAAAAAGCAGAAACCAACTTTGGCTCCAAATCTCTCTGCCCCAAGCAAGACCTAACCCATACAAATGCAGATGTAAAACCATTAGAAAGTTGAAGACAGAGCAATCAAGAAGACAAAGAGAAAATCTGCATGCCCCACCCAAACTCTAGGAGTCATTAGCCCCATCACCTGGGAAGCAGGATATGATAATAAGATTAAACCACAGATATCAAGGCCTAGAAAAACACTCAGAAATATCCTCAAAGTTCATGCCACAGGAACAGGAAACTATTCCAAACAGGGCTAGAGGGGGTATAAAAAACCTTCTACCCATGTGCTCACTCTTTTTCTTCTCCTCTGCTCCTTCTTGCAAGGACCATCTTTCTTCTGCAATAAACTGTAACCTTCTTCCCAAAGCAGTCGCCATGTTGGCTTATTTATTCCCGGCTTGGATGAACCAGGATGAAGACTTACTTCTAACAGTATGTAGTCCTTAACGTTTGTGAAAACAGGCTTATTTTTATTATTATTATTTTTTTTATTTATTTAATTTTTATCCCGCCCTTCTCCTTACGGACTCAGGGCGGCTGACAGCCTTGTAAAACAGATACTACAATAAAAATACCCAGTTTAAAACCTAATTAAAAAGAAATATTTACTGTGGCCTATGTCAATTAAAATTACTCTTAAAACCCCACTAAAAATTCCCCTAGGCCAATCCCGCTTGTTGGAAGA